TACCAGATACATGATTTGCAAATATTTTCTATCATTCTGAAAGTTTTTTCACTTGATAGTGCCCTTGATACACAAATGTTTTATTTTCCAGTTTATTAATTCTATCTAATCTCTTGTTCAGTCCATCTATTAAGTTTTTGTTTTCATAATTTTAAGTCATTGCTGAAATTCTATACTTTTATTTTTCTCAAATATTAAGCATACCTTTTTTTAAAAAACATGCAACATGATACAGATTTGCTGCTGCTGCTGTTGTTGTTGTTAATCCTTACCCAAGGATACTTTTCCATAGACATTTAGAGAGAGTGAAGGGAGGGAGAGAGACACAGAGATAGAAACATCCATGTGAGAGAGACCCATCAATTGGTTGCCTCCTGCATTCAACCAAGGTATGTGCCCTTACAGGAATCGAACCCTTCACCCTTCAGTCCACAGGTTGACACTCTATCCACTGAGCCAAACCAGCTAGGACAATACAGACTTTTAATACAGCATTTGGTCAGTATTTCTCAATAGAAATTCTCCGCACTTTTGCCCCAGTAATTCTGTACTTAGGATCTACGTCTAGAAAGAACTGCATAAGTGGCCATTAACAAGAGACTGGTTAAATTATAATACATGATATACCACAGCAGTTTTCAAAATGAGTTGGAATTCCATATGCTGAATTTAAAACTAACACAATTGGGAACAATTGATTTAATTTTACTTCTTGGTTTAAACTACATTGTCATCATTTCATGTAAGACCATGTGCTTGTTTTTGATATTTCCCACTCTTGGTTTCTTAGCTTTATTGAAGTACTAGAGGGCTGGTGCACGAAATTCGTGCACTTAGGGGGAGTGGGCCTACGCTGTCAGTCGGACATCCTTAGCATTGGTGCGGAGGCAGGAAAGGCTCCCGGCGGGAAAGCCTCCCGCCACTGCTGCTATACTTGCCAGCCATGAGCCCGGCTTCTGTGGAAGCGCACTGACCACCAGGGGGCAGCTCCTGTGTTGACCATCTGCCCCCTGGTGGTCAGTGCGTGTCATAGCAACCGGTCATTTCGCCATTCAGTCAACTTGCATATTAGCCTTTTAATATATAGGATGATTGATAAACACAAATGGTATGTATATATTTAAGGTTTACTTTGAGGTCTATTTTGTCTGATATAAGTATTGCTACCCCAGCTTTTTTTTCATTTTCATTTGCCTGAAAGATATTTTTCCATCCCTTCACTTTCAGTCTTTGTGAGTCTCTTATTCTGAGGTGGGTCTCTTGTAGACAGCATATATATGGGTCATGTTTTTTTAATCCATTCAGCCACTCAATGTCTTTTGATTGGAACATTTAGTCCATTTACGTTTAAAGTTAATATTGAAAGGTACTTGTTTGTAGCCATTTCTATTTTTTGTGCCTGTTTTCTTTCTTAGCTTTTTATTTCTTCTTTATAGACAAGTCCCTTTAGCATTTCTTGCATTGCTGGCTTGGTGGTGATAAACTCCCTTAGCCTTTATTTTGTCTGTGAAGCTTCTTATTTCCCCTTCAATTTTGAATGATAACCTTGCTGGATAGAGTATTCTTGGATTCAGTCCCTTGCTTTGCATCACTCACACATTATTTCTTCAAATAGGTTTTCTAACCCTTGTTCCTCTTCCTGTTGTTCTGGCACCCGTATTATTCGTATGTTGCTTCATTTCATGTTGTCCCATAGCTCCCTTAGGCTCTCCTCCTGTCTTTTAATTTTTTTTCTCCAATTGCAGTTCAGTTTGGGTGTGTTTTGCTTCCACATGATGTTTTGATAAATATATACATTGTTGAAATAATTACCACATTTAAGCTAATTAAGATGTCAATTTGCTAAGATCCAGAACTTATTTATCTAACAACTGAAAGTTTGAACATCTTTCTTTTCCCTCAGCCCCCTAATTTGTGGTAACCGCCATTCTCCTCTCTGTATTTTTAAGATTCCACATATAAGTGAGATTATGTAGTATTTGTCTTTGTATATCTGGCTTATTTTGCTTATAATATCCTCCAGATTCATTGTGTTGTCACAAAGGGCAGAATTACCTTTTCTGAGGCTGGATAATATTCGTGTGTGTGTGTGTGAAATCACATTTTCTTTATCTATCAATAGAAACTGAGGTTGTTTCCAAATCATGGCTATTGTGAATAGTGCCACAGTCAGCATATGAATGCAGTTATCTCTTTGAGATAATAATTTTATTTCTTTTGATATATACTCAGAAGTAGGATAGCTAATTCATATGGCAGTTCTATTTTTAATATTTGGAGGAGCTTCCATACTGTTTTCCATAATGGCTGTACCAGTTTACATTCCCATCAACAGTGTAAAGGGTTCCCTTTTGTCCACATTATTGCTAATACTTGTTATCTTTTGACTTTTTTTTTTTTAATAATAGCTGGCCTAACAGGTATGAAATGATGTCTCATTGTGGTTTTGATTCGCATTTCTCTGATTATTAGTGATGTACCTGTTGGCCATTTTTGTATCTTCTTTGGAAAAATTCTTATTTGGGCCCTTTGCTCATTTTTAAATTAGGTTATTTAGTTTTGCTATTGAGTATGAATTTCTTAAATATTTGGATTTTAATTACTTACTGGGTAAATGGTTTGCAGTATTTTCTCCCATTCTGTACGTTGCCTTTTTCATTTTGTTGATGGTTTCTTTTGCTGTGCAGAAACTCTTTAGTTTGATATAGTCTCACTTGTTAACATTTGTTTTTGTTACCTATGCTTTTGATGTCAAATCCAAAGAATCATTGCCAAGACCAATGTCAAGGAGCTTTCCTTTTATATTTTCTTCTAGGAGTTTTATAGTTTCAGTTCTTATGTTTACATTTTTAACCCATTTCACTTGATTTTTGTATATGGTGCAAGGTAAAGATCCAGTTTCATTCCTTTGCATGTGGCTATCTCATTTTTCCAACACAGTTTGTTGAAGATATTATCCTTTTCCCATTGTGTATTCTTAGTGCCCTTGTTGAAGTTTATATGCATGGGTTTATTTCTAGGCTATCTATTCTGTTCCATTTGTCTGTTTGCATGATGCGTGTCTGTCTGTATGCTACTACTAACCTATTTTGACTACTATAGCTTTATAATTTGAAATCAAGAAGTGTGATGCCTCCAGCTTTGTCCATCTTGCTCAAGATTACTTCATTCGTTTTTTCTTACAAAGTTTTAGAATTGCTTTCTTATTTCAGTGAAAAATGCCATTGGAATTTTGGTAGGGATTGTATTGAGTCTATAGATCACTTTGGGTAGTATGGACATTTTAACAATATTAATTCTTCCCAGTAGATGAACACAGAATATCTTCCATTGTATGTTTTTTAATTTTCTTTTATCAATGTCTTATAGTTTTCAGTATATAAATATTTTGCCTCCTTGGTCAAATTTATTCCTAAGTATCTTAGTCTTTTTTATGTTAAGCATACTACTTTAAATTCTGTGCCTCCTGGTTCATTTGTATCTCTTGTGAGACTATGTCTTCTGCATGGTCTTTCTGACTTACTTTTTTCTTGTTATCTTATCTCTTTGTTATTGTTAATTAAGGGCCCGATATTGTGTATGAAAATTTGTGGAAATAATTTGAGACCTATGGTGACGTTGTTATCTTCCTCTAAGAAGATTTATGTTTGTTTTTAGCAGGCACTAGCAATCCAAAATTGCTTTAACTTAATTTTGTGGTAGAAATGTGGAGCTGGGTTTCAGTCCTGTAAAGGCCAGCCTAGTTTGGGTTTATATTTACTCCTAGAGTGTAGCCCTTTGGCCTTCCAAACAAAAGTGTTGGAGTTTTACCAGGTCCCCCTCCACAACTTTGTTCTCTCTTCATGCCAATATTTGTCTTTCCAGCTCTATAAAACTGTCAAAAGCTTCTTTAGCCCCAAATGCCTGGCTTCAGTTTTCTTTAATTCTTCATTATGCTATTAACTTTACATTGCCTTCAGGACGATTTAAAATATATACAGGGTGTCCCAAAAAATGTATACACACTTTAACAGCTGATAGCTCAATTAATGTTTCTTTTCTCTCAGATTTAACCCATTGGACTTAATAATGACAGCCAAAGTGTGGCTATATATATTTTTGGAACACCCCAAAAAATGTTCTAGTTTTCTTAGGGAAAAGTTGGTCTGAAGTATATAATCTTAATCTGACTTTCTTAGGAGTTGGAGTTAACAGTATGTAAATGGAAGTAAACAGTGTATAGTTTACTCTTTTTAAAATGTTAGAGAAAGATTCAAAGGTTACCATATAATAATGTCAGTCTTTTATCCACTTGTATGTTCACATATTTTCTTGGAGAGAGGGGATAAGAAATAGTTATAGTGACCTAGTAGCTAATGCCTATATTGGATTGTTAAACAGGTGAATATCTTTTTTTCATGTTTGTCTTATGGGGTAGTGGAGGGGGAAAATTGAAGAGCTTGCTCTAATTGTAATACTTACGGCTTTACACTATAATTATTTTTTATACGAGAGGCCCAGTGCATGAATTCATGCACCAGTGGAGTCTGAGCCTGGCCTGCGGGATCGGGCCGAAACCTGCTCTCCAACATCCCCCGAGGGGTCTCATGTTGCAAGAGGGTTCAGGCCAGGCCGAGGAACCCCACCATGGGGCTGGGGAGGGACATGGGAGGTTGGCCAGCTGGGGAGGAACCGCAGGAGGGCTTCAGGGCATGTTTGGCCCATCTCAGTCCTGATTGGCCAGACCCCAGCAGCACGTCATAGCCACTGGTCGACCTGTTGACTGCCTGCCCCTGGTGGTCAGTGCACTTCATAGCGAGTAGTTGAGTGGCCTTAGCATATCATTAGCATATTATACTTTGATTGGTTGAACAGACGACCAGATGACCAGACACTTAGCATATTGGGCTTTTATTATGTAGGATATGCTATTCTGAATCATCCTAAAAGACAAATTTTAATAGAGAAGGAAGAATCTTTTCTCACCAACTCTTTTGTTTCCATCCTCTTCTATCTAACAGGTGGCATCTCCACAGAAAGCGACTGTGCTTTTGAGCCAGACTACGCCGTCCCACCACTTCCAGTGAGTGAAGGTATGCAGCACATTCGGATTATGGAGGGCATGTCTCGCTCTCTTCCATCCTCCCCCTTACTCACACATCAGTCTATCAGTGTTCGGCTCCAACCTGTGAAGAAGTTAACTGGTAAGGACCTTACCTAAATTAAGTATGTTTAACAGGAAACCTAACAGTATGACGTTTTAGGTCATATCAGATCTGTTTATGTACATCTTTAGGTTTTTTTCCTTTTTGGCCTTTCTAATGTCATAGACCAGGGGTGGGCAAACTTTTTGACTCGAGGGCCACAATGGGTTCTTAAACTGGACTGGAGGGCCGGAACAAAAGCATGGATGGAGTGTTTGTGTGAACTAATATAAATTCAAAGTAAACATCAATATATAAAAGGGTAAGGTCTTTTTTTTTTTTTTTAGTTTTATTCATTTCAAACGGGCCGGATCCGGCCTGCGGGCCGTAGTTTGCCTACGGCTCTCTTAGACTCTTGGAAAGAGGAGCTCCTACTGGTTTTAATTTAGGGAATTAGAATAATACTCAGTTTAACAGATTGATGTATTTATTTTCTAAATGATCCATCTGTTGTGGACATATTTTTCTAGGCTTTCAGGAAATTTCAAGTTTTGCCAGAATACACTGTTGTTCTGATTTCATTTTATCAGCTTGTTCATGTCAGATTAACAGATGGAGATATTATAATTTTAGGATAATAAGAGCTTCATAGTTCAGCAAAGGTACATTAGTCATGTTTTTGTTTGAATTCTTGATTTGTATATTTCATATCTATTTTTAAAGCTGATTTAGATATTTTCCTCTCCACTGTACATTTCTCCAACTTCTTAGTATATTTACTATCATTCATAAGTTATGGATTGCACTGACTTTAATATGATCTCAAATATATATTGCCCATTCAGATCAAGTTGTTAGATCTGAAACTGTCTTCATTAAATGAACTTTTGTTTATTTAAGCTTTTTCAGGAAAGACATTTTAGTATGTTGAATGAGACTTAAGTGTGAAAATATGTAAGCCTGGGTCACTTTGTTAGATTTCTTTTAACATTATCAGTATATATCTGATGTCAGGAAGTTGACTAGTTTTGTTGGGTTATGAGTACATAGAGGCAATAAATTAAGTCATTCCCAAAGGATGTATTGACTACTTCCTATGTGTCTGGCATTGAGCTAGACAGTAGGGAGGTTTGATTATCATATGACAATTCTTAATAAAATAGGAGGAGAGAGGAGGAAATAGAAATTTTATACTCTTCCATTTATTTTTTTAAATTTACTGGGGTGACATTGGTCACCATTAACATATAGGTTCTAGGTGTGGTTTTCTTTGTTATAAGATCTGTATATTGCACTGTATGCCCACCACCCAAAGTCAGATTTTCTCTCTTCCATCTATTTTGAATGAAACTTTTACAATGCTTATATTTTTTTTCATTCAAATGATATTTCTTTATTGTATAATTCCACAAAGCATCAGTCATTCCTCTTGTATTATTTATTGTTTTTTAGGCATATTGAAATAGCAAAATCTACTTTGATTCTTGGGTTATTAGATAAAAGTCAGTAAAATAGCTGAGTAATATTTTACTAAAATACTTATTTTCTTCTGATATCTAAAAATAGGATAAATTTTATGTGATTCTGCATGAATAAAATTTCATTGCTTAGAAACACCCACTTTTTCTTGCAGTTTAAGGTATTATTGATTACTGAATATAACAAAAAAACAAATGTGATGGCTGTCAAGTGGCTTCATTTTACCACACACTTGGAAAGAAATAGCCATTTCCTTATAGAAGTTAGCTGGCTTGCCTGAGGGTCTGGAGATATCACTTTTCTATTTCATTTGCCTGTCCCAGTTTGAACTTCAACTTAAATAGTCAAAGATATATAGGATATATGAAAAGATATATA